AAAGCTCTGAACCACAACAACATATCAATACTGTGGGAGCTCACTTTAAAGAGCACTCGTGTTTGATATCCACACGCCAGGCCTGTGAAGCTGCAGTGCTCAGCTCAACTGTGTTTTATTTAACTTAAGTGGCTTTGCCGGTGTCCATGTTCCACATCTAGACTTCAACATGCAGAGTTTAGGAGTCAGGGTGGTGCCAACAATAAATATTTGTGGTTTTTGTAACTCATGGTGTTTCTTTTCCTAACAGAATAATATCTGGGGGGAGGATGCAGGGTTCTTACCTGACCATCTCTGTCAGCACCCATATTACGGGTGTTGTCCCGCCTGTCCATCATCATGTCGTCTTGGTAACGTCCCCTTTCTCTGTGATCAAAATCCTGATAGCGACCAAAGTCTGAGCGGCCGTAACGGTCATCCATGGCCATACGCTTATCAGGCCAGTCATCCTTCCTAAAAAGGAACCACAAAAACCACGAGGATCGACCAGTGAGCAGAGCTGTATCCAGCAGATAAACGCAGCATGCATCAGTGTCACACACACGTCACTGTACCTGCCGTCCATGTCGTAAGGCCTCTTAACGGGGCGCCGTTCCTGTTCATAGCGCAGCTGCTCCTGCTGCCGTCTCAGCTCCTCGCGCTCCCTGAGGATCCTTTCCTGCTCTCGCCGCCTTTCGTACTCAATGCGTAGCCTTTCACGCTCCAGGAACTGACGCTCCATGCGATCTGCGTCGAGGCGCTGCTTCTCAGCCTGCAAATGAAATCATTTGATTACAGTTAATTCATACATTTTTTAGAACTAACAGGGATTAAGGTGAGAAGTGTTTATATGGGAGGAATGAAAGAAAATGTAGTGATTATGTGCAGAGTGCATCGGATTGAGAGTTGTACCAAAGGACGCATATTTGGAGGCAGAGAGGAGTCATGTGACGATACCTCCAACCAGTGTCTCTTCTTCATCAAGTGGTTTCGCTCCTCCCTCTCCCGGAAGAGACGGATGCGCTCACGCTCTCGGTCAGGTCGGAATTCCCGATTGCGATCACTGAATGAAAAAAGAAAAATCAGCTGATATTTATTATCCGATCAAAACCTGAGCTAACTGCTAATATATAGAAGTGTCTTTATGAATACATTCTGTGTTGTTAAGCTCCATGATGGGCTAAGTGTTATTTCTGTATTCATGATCCTTACGTGAATCTGCGTCTCTCGACCTCTCTGATCTCCCTCTCCCTCTGCCTTTGTCTCTCCCTCTCCCTTTGCTCCTTAATCTGATCAAATGACAAGATGTCTTTCCTCTCCTTACTCGAAGAAGTTCGGTCCCGACTCTTGGTGCTCTGAAGAAAGAGCAGAAGAGTGTGAAGACGGGCATGATCTAACCACTTCATGCATCAACAAAACAACACTGATTAAGAGGGAGATGGCAGTTACAGGGTCATTAATCATTACTTACCCTCTCCTTGCTTTTGCTTTTGGTTTTGACACTGATAACAGGCTCTCCCTTGGACTTGTCCATAACTACAGTCCTCTCATTTCGTCCTGTCAAACAATCAAAATTATTAATGTCAAGTATGTAATAAAGGTTGTTTTTTTTTTTTAAATCATGTCCAGGTGGAAATTCTAACACATCTCACACCTTTGCCATCTTTTCCTTCTCCCTCAGACTTCTCATCCTTTCCATCAGACCTGCAGAAACATCCATATTGTCAGAAATCATTGAACAGTTAACCTGATCCTTATCTTGGTTTATACAAAGGGTTAAATGTCTGACAAACTACCCAGACACATGGCATGCTAAAAATATGCCATGTGTCTGGGTAGTTTGTCAGATATTTAAAACCTCACTGGGCCAAATTTTCCCAGCAGAAGAGGCACTTTTAGCGATATCACTCAAACACAAGTCAACGGTCTGGCAGTCTTACTTGGAGTCAGTGGAGTGTCTCCTGTCAGTGCTAGACCTCTTGGGGTCGTTCTTGTCAGCTGGCTTCTTCCCTGCAGGTTCATTTTTAGCCTGCAATGTTTAAACGGGAACACGTTTATTCACAAGACCAAGCTCAACATCAGCGTGTTTAAAGAAACAAATACCCCTGCCTTCTCTATAGCTTTCTAATTACTTCAGATCATTTCTAATCTTTGCCATTTCCAACCATTTTATTTGCTGCATGTTTTTTATTTTTTTATTTAGAGCTAACACTTTAGTCTGATTACAACCATCAGTTTAACAAAGTTTTAGGCATTGCAATACAACTAAACAGAAAACAGACTGCTGCTTCCAAATGATCAGACTGTCAGATGAAATGTTAGTTACTTTTCCTTCTCCCCACACTCACCCGCTCCACAGAGATCATCCTGCCATGCAACTCGGTCCTGTGAAGGTGGCTGATACACTTGGTTGCTTCCTCTGTGGATGACATGGTGACAAACCCGTAGCAGCGAGCCCCGGGACTTTTGGCATTGGTCACCACCTTAGCTCCGACAACCTGCAGGACATTTATAAAGCCCATAAATATTTATTTTTGCGTCCATGCAGAAAGTAACTGTCTGGTGACACTGGTGAGAGACCGTTTTCAATCGACTAACCTTGCCATATTTGCTGAAAAGCGTCTTCAGATCAGTCGCTCTGGTAGTGGAAGAGAGGCCACTGACCCACAGATTCCTGCTGCTGCTTGCTGCGGCCCCAGCTCCAGCACCTACACATGTGCACCATAAAATTAATGAGCACACAGCCACTGAAAACAAGACCACCAAGACAAAGAAGCCATTTGATTTACTCACCCTTTTCATCCTTCGACTCGGTCTTGCCATCTTTCTCCTCAGAGCTAGAGAAGAAGGGGAAAAAAAGCCATCAACCTACAACGGTGAGGATGTTGGCGAGGACATCCACGATCTTCTGGCACACATGTTTGTATTTCTGTTATATAGCATCTCTCATTGCCTACAGCGATCAACCCAACATGTACCATAGTGCAGTGATGTATTGGCGAATAAATGGAGTTATATCCTCTGGCAATCCGAATAGTTAGGTTTTTAATGGATAATAAAGTGGGACAGGTGAGTGCAAGGAATGAAAAATGGGGGAACCAAAACAAAACAAATGTACAAAACGTTTTTACCTCCAAAAGAGCATCCAAATTTTGCTAGCACAAAGGGGCCAAAGCAACAGAGATAACCATTTTTGGTTTCTAGTATACAGAAAGCAACAAACCTCTTTTTCTGATCATCGCCCTCTACAGAAGAGGACTCTTTCAGTGTCGAGGCTGAATCCGCAGCAGCTTTCTCTTCTGTCTTCTCATCCTCCTCAACCTTCTTAGCCCCCGTTTCTGAATCAACAGTTTCAACCTCGCCGCCCTGTTTGCTTACACTAACAGCCTGCGACATTTTGTTTTCACCGTCAAGTGTCTCTTCTGGGGCGTTCTGTTCCTCCCCAACCTCTTTGGGATCAGTCCCCACAACATCCCCGCTGCCCTCCGCATCTCCAGCGGCAGTCACGTTGGACTGGGCACCTGTGTCGGACACACTTTCTTCCCCTCCGGCGGTGGCTCCTTGGTCTTCTTCAGGGCTCGTCTCGTGGCTCTGGTGTTGATCTTCGTTATGCGGCTCAGATAAACAAGACCCGGCTACTTTGTCATTTTCTACGGATTTAACAGGAATAGAATGGCACATAGTTTAATCACTTCTGAAACACATCAATGGTTAACGAGGAACTGGCAAGGCCTGGATTAGGAACGTCATGACCACTGGCCTGTGCTCTTAGAACTATGTATTAAAACGATGGCCCTAAAGAGAGACTGGAAAAGGGCCCAAAGGCTGTTGGGACAACCGAGCAACTAAAGGGGCTAAAACTCATTTCTCAAGCTCAACCACTTCACTCTTTTCACCTGATCCAAGACAGACAAAGAGTAGAGTGCTGAAGAGAGCCACAACATCAGCAGTACACCGGAGGCTCGCTGAACTCCATCTTCTTTCAGCCTTTGAGACTTTTCCAGCGTCCATTGGTAGTGAGCAGACCTTCAGCTCAAGTCCAGCAGTTTCTTATCCAGCTGATTTATGATTCACCGTCTTTAAAAAGTCGTAAGAGTTGACAAATCTTGATGCATCTTCTTTGCCTTGACCTTCACGTGGCAACCTAGAAACACTACAATCACCTGCACAGCTTAAACCTCCCTCACCTTGAAACTGAATTGCTGGCAGTGTGAATCAACTTGTTAACCACAGTCACGTGAGCGTGTGAGAAGATATATGGTAACTTGACCGATATTTACAAATGAACAAAGAAAAGATCATATGTGGCTAAACAAATTTCAACACCAAGTCAGCAATTCCCTTTGGGCTTCCAGTCTCTCTTGTTGGTTGAAACTAAACAAAGTGTTTGCATTTTCAAGCTTAACACTGCACATCTACACCTCAACCTTATGATGAGCCAATTTCTTTTACAGTACCTGTTTCTTCTTTTGTGTCGTCAGCCTCTGGATCCTGAGCCTTTAACACAGAAAATTATGTCTCGTTCAAAACGTTATCGTGTTTTAACAGGCTCTGCAGGCGTAAGAAATACTTAGTAAACCTACCACATTGGCTGCTGAAAATGTTGCATCTTCATCCTTATCCAGCATCTCAAATTCATCCATCTGTTAAAATATAGTCAAATAAACTAACATTAAAACAGAGTTACAAGTAAAGATTTAGCAGACAGGTTTCTAGTATTATCTCTCACCTCTGGACCTCTCGTGTCTTCTTCTGACTCGAGTGCCCTGTAGTCATTTTCTTCATTCATCCCCGAGTCGTCCTCTCTGTAAAAGTTCTCGCTTCCATACTCGTCATCTTCAGCCGGTATTCCGTTGTCATTGTCAGTCTCATCCAGAATGTTCATGTCAAGGATGTCCATGTCCTGCATGTTCTCATGTTCATGCTCATCCTCCTGATTATCCTCCTGATGAGACAAAGACGTTTTTAATACATCAGCTGTAGCATCCAAACTGGAGGAAAAGCAAGATAATCCTATCAATAAACTTACATGGCCATCGCGGGAATCCTCCTCCATAGTGCCATCCTCCGGTTCATCGTTCTCCTGCTTGGTATCTAAAGAAAATACACTTTAGTTTAGTCTTCGCCTGATTTTGACAGGCGTCTAAATCTCTCCCACGCATATTCTGTTACCCTTGCTCTTGCTATACTCTTCTTTTATAACGAAATACCGTAATTGTTCAGGAATGCTGCACAAGCACGAAATGCAACGACATGACATATTACGTGTCACCTGCCTTGCAGAAGCCACTCGGGCACAGCAACAAACGGAAAACATTGTGTTTTAAGAGCTTGCTGCAAACCTTACCTCTGGCAGCGCGTTTAGGTGTGACGTTGGCCTTTTTGGTGGTCAACTCCGGAGCGACGATAATCTCGTCCGGATTCCCACCCTCTTCCTCGATTGCCTGTTTGTCAAGAGTACGGCAAAAACGCTTTACAGGTTGTACATTTAAGCAACAGTTGAAATAAAAAACATGTCAAATAGGTGAATGCACGCAAATTAGCGGCATTAGCGAGTTATTTGGTACAAGCGCATGCTAGCACTTAGCATACATTTAGGGTCAACGGTCTCGTAGCTTAGTACGCTCGAAATATTGCGGCTGTGTGAGCGTCAAACTAAACTTCTATAATGCAGGCCTTTATGTGCATTTTAAGCATTGTTATTCAGCGACTGGTTGTTTAAGGGACTGTAAAATTCAGACCTTTTTAAGACGCTCTGATAGCACGCTCTTCACGCCCGTCGTGTCCAGGTTTCGTTTCTTCAGCTCGGCCTTCAGGTCTATGACCCGCAGCTCCGACAGTTTGCGCACTTCTGCACCCTCCGGCACCTCCACATCTGCTGATGGGTCAGCCATCGCAAGACACGGGAAAATATCTCTTCAGCTTGCAATAGTAATAATAATATTCCTTCAAAGAGCCGTGTTTACTGGCGCCGCACAACGAATGGAAGCAGCGGGATTACTAAATTACTGCAAAATGGCGGATGCTGCAAGCAGAGGTGGTGACGACACAGCGCAGGCGCAGTGCAGCGATAGTGCGGCGACTGGCACCAATCAGCGACAAGGATCTGATGGCCGGGAGAGCGCAGAGTATAGTAAAGTAAGCAGCTGCTGTTATTTATGCAAGCGTTAAAACACGATAAAAGCACACAGACAGCTATTTTAGTTAGGAGTTCTTCTTTTCTGCTCCCACCATCTTCATCCTTCTTACCCTACCTCTTACATCCTCCTCTGTTACACCAAACATATCCACTCGCTCCACCCACTCCACCCTACCTGCACTCTTTTTCACATGTTTTGTGCACTTTCCCTTGCTTTGGATGGTTGACCCCAAGTATTAAAATTCTTCCTCCTTCACTGTTACACCTGCCTCCCTCTCATTCACACACTGCTGACTTTTATTCCTTTTCTCTCCAGTGCATACCTGCACCTCTCCAGGCCATCTTCCACCTTCTTCCTATTCGTGTCATCTTTGAACGTCATAGTCCATCTCTGCAAGCAAGAATGATCTCAGATGTAATCTCACCCCCAACTTAAACCCATATGTCCCTCCAGCTGCACCTCACCACTGTCTTACTGTCTTCATACATTTTTTTCTAATGCATGTTACAAAAAGGTTAAAGGTATAAAGTTTATGCTTTATTCTCCTGTTTTGAAGGCAGTCTTTGGGTTGCATAACATTGTTACAAATCCATAATAATAAAAAAAAACATTACACAACTTAATGCATAGTTAATACAAAGATCAGAGCTTAAACGGCCCCCATACAGTCCGGGCCGAATTTAAAGAAATGCCATATTAACAGGACTTGTCTGTCAAGCTTTCCACACATTCATGATTTTGTACTGCCGATTTATTAGTGGGTAAAGGCTGAATCTCAGTCTCAGTAAGAATGAAAATTGTACATGTCACTAAACTTGTAGTTTGAGTCATTTACTTTACTGTGGGGCAAACTTTTGCTGGCAACAAGAGGTCGAGGGTTATCTAGTATTTCAGGACTGTCAGTCTCCTCTGGCACATTGGCACTCCTGGGTGATGTCGGGGAGCCACCGGTGAAAGACACACTGGCACTTTGTGCATGATGTGACCATGTGTTTGAGGCTGTACCAGTCAGGGACAAGTCTTCACCAAAGGAGGAGCATCCGGGAACGTTAAAAGAGTCGAAGCTGAAGGACGAGGAGGCAGAGCTGACGTGAGCTGCTCGGGGTTCGTGGAGATTGAGTTTGGAGACCAGTGGTTTGCCGACTGTTACTTGCTGCCTTTCTTGCACTTCCTCATCCATGTTGGAGTAGGTGTAATGAAGGCATATTGTGAATGTGAGCTCCCTCTATAAAGACAGTAAAAAGCACAATTTGTTTTGGGTTTGTTTTAGCAGTTCTGAAAAAGTATCGGCTTCAGTCTTCCTGTTTTTTAAGTGAGCTGCAGCAGGCTTGGCATTGGAAACGACTGCTCTGAGGTCATAAATAGAAGAACTTATTGTAAAAATAGGGAAAAATGACAGACCTTGAGTCTCTGCAGGCTGCGGATGTGCGTGTACAGACTGTGGGCTTCTGGTGAAGGAAGCTCCTCTTTTATCAATGATAAACAGCCAGCTTCCAGTAGAGACTCCTGATTGCTCTTCTTCAAATCAATGTCCACATCCTGCAAAAGTGATACGAAAACTCTGTAAAGCTCAGTGCATTTTCAATTAGATGCTTGTGCTTTAAGGAGCTGCAGCAGCAAATTTAGTCCTGGGTAAAATTTTGTCTGTTCTGTATTGAATCACAAGCTTTTTAAATCTAAGTGGAATAATGTGTCACACACCTCAGGGAAATCGGTAAGCTGAGCCGAGCAGGAGACTATTTCATCGGGTTTGTCAAGTATCCGAGTGTAGATGACCATGACGTTGGAGAATTCTGCAGCAAATCCAAGCTGAACCTTCACTCCACAGTCAAACTGGAGGTAACGGCTTTCAGGGAGAACTGTGAAATAAATAAATAAATAAATAAATACGAGTAGAAATGTGCCTTTTGAAATATTTCATCATTTCAGTTAATACTTTTTTTTACCATGTGCAATAGCCCACTGCAGGTTTCGAGCTGAAGAGGATGCAGAACACTGAGAAACCTGTATCCTGTCAGTGAGGGAGCGTCTTTCAGAGAGATTACTGCGGAGCTCCAGCGCCTGCCGCCCTCGTGTGATTACACAGCGACCCATGTCTGAGAAGAAAAAACAAGCTTTAATATTGGGAGCACAGATGTGACGTGTCTATTTTTCTGTTGCAGGACATTATTTTTGTTTAAAACACTTTAATAATAGGACTAATATGCATTTTAAAAAGGGTCATAGATGATCTTAGAGCTTTAAATAACTGGAAGAAATCAATTTAATAGTTTTTCTTGCAGGCTGTGTCACTAGATCTTAAATCTGTCATAAGACTAAACAGGCCATAAAATCAACAAATAATTGTAAAGATATTTAAAATAGAAATGATGCATTCGTTTTGCAATTATAGTTTGCACCATTCAGTGTGGTTTACCCCAAAGGGTTCACAGTTTTTTCATGCTGCAGTATGTATAAGTGGGATATGACTGGACCTGCAACATCCTCCTTGTTAAACAGCATTTAGTGGGCTTTCAGGTTTCTCTTCATATCCACGTTGGCATATTGCTACACCTTGACTCAATCCATCTAAGTCTGGTAAATGTTGCCAATGAGTCAAAAATCAGTGAGTACCTCCCCACTGACCCCCTTGGAATCAGCTTTTCTTCCTCCAATAACTTTGATAAATTACAATGAAGCCATGAAAAAATTTACCTTCGTTCTATGAGCCATTTCCGGGTCACATGCATGTTAAAAACATAAAAGTGGCTTTAATAACGGTGCTCACAGTTCACACACATTACAAAGCTTCACCAAGGGTTCGAGCATCGTGCCAAAATCGAAAGGAATCAGTTTGTTGTTGATGCTCACAAAGTAGGAGATGGATATGCAAATTTATCCCAGCATTTCAGTAAGTGTCAGGAATAATCATTTCTCACTCCTCACACGACTTTGCAGAATTCCTGCAAAATGAAGGATGTTAAACTGTTTTCACAGTTGAAATAATTTGAAAAGAAAAGCGAATGAACTGTAAGTTTTGTGAAGACGTTTCACGGCGCATCCAAGAGACATCTTCACTTCTAAAACCGTCCGAGTCGGAGGTGTTTAAACCCTGTTGGGGTTATCCCTTAAAAGGGTCGTTGACCCACTATTAATTGCGCTTTATCACATTAGCCAAGACATGTGTCAGTGACACCTTGCCTCATCCTATCATGTGACCTATTATAGTAAACTTTTAAAAATATTTTGGGGGAGCTTGCAAAGGATCTCAAGACTGCACTGTAGGTGGCCAACAGCTGGTGTCAGTACCCAGCCACTCTGTTCGATGATTGTTATTCACAGTGGACACAGATTCCCCTTTTACTCCTCTTTCAAATCTTCTGTCTTTGAGTTCCAAAATGTGAACACTGGCATCCTCGAAAGAGTGACCTTTATCCTTTAGGTGCAGGTGTGCAGCTGAGTCTTGTCCTAAGGACTTAAGAAAATCTCCGGGAGCAGTGCGGCACTGCCAGAGCAGTCTACTCTGAACGTGAAGCCAAACTGAAATCAGATATGTTTTTTACATTTTTGTAGTTGAGGAATATTGCGATCCGACCTCTGATTATATCGTACAGATTGTTGAGTGCTCTACCTTCAGCCACTCTGTCGAGCATAACGGTGACCTTCTCGTCTTCACAAACTCGCTGTTTGAGGAAGTTTATGAAGATGCCATTTGACACGTCTTCCCTCTTCACCTCATACGCTTCAGCGTCTACGCATCTAAAAGACAGCAACTTTCACATGAGTTTGACCTTGTAGCCTGAAGTAGAAATACACAATAAGTGCTAGAAAACAACACCCGATACTAAAGAAATTCAAAACTGAACCGCATTTAGGACTGGGAGCTTACGTGGCATAACCAAACACTATATTTGCTGTGACCTTCAGCAGTCCAGGCTGCACGATGACATCATCGTGTGGGTTTCTGAAAAAGAAAACGGATGAACAGATTCAGAGGGTCTGCGCTGATTATAATTTCATTAAATAAAAACAAAACAAAACATACCTTTTGCGACACATGTCCAGCAGGAATACATTAAGACCAGTCTTTTTCTCCTGCATCTTTGTGAGTATATTCTGTACACACAAGCAGTGCTCTGATGTGTAGGAGACCGGCGCGTCAATGGGAACCATGAAGCTGTTTCCATAGTTCTCATAGCCATGACCAGCAAAATATAGCAAACCTTCAGAAGTAAAGAAAAACAGATGCAATTATTTATCCTAGTTGTATTCTTTTTTTTAAAATTAAAAGTAGATTTTACAAACACAGTGCTGCATTTATTTTATCAGTAAAGCGCCGCGCAGTCGCTCAAAGTGGACAGACGTATGCAGCAGACGTACCGTAGACTCCTTTGTCAAGCAGCAACAGGAACTCAGTAACAGCGCTGTGCATCTCCTGCCAGTTGAGGTCGAGCAAAGAAACCACCTTGAAGTCCAACTGTCGAAGAAGGTTGGTCAACTCGTGGACGTCAGAAATGGGAGCACACAGCTGCGTGTGGTAAATGTAGTTCATGTTACCAATCAGAAGAGCGACTTTGTCTGTGGCTGTGGACAGGAAGAGAATGAGCAGTGAAATCCACCACAAATCGACAAAAGTAAGACTCGGTATTTGTCTGTTTGCTTGCGTAAATTCACCATAAACGTCCTTGGCAGATGGGGGCGAACTGGCTATCTGTTGAAGCGGATGTGTTCCTGCTCCGTAGGTTTTGTGGACTTCCTGTGACTCTGAGAACACCAAAAGAAAAAACATGCTGTGTTATCTGATAACTAACAGTTTGTTTAACATCTCGTTTTCACATCTGTAAAGCCTGGTAACCAGACTTACTGTGCACTTCACATTAACCCAATTAACCACAGCTATCAGTAGCTGTTTTTTAGGTTACACATGCA